TCAGTAATGGACGAACATCTTGTCTCTGGTTACGCTGTAATTGGTTGTAAATAAAGTAGTTATGCTGCTCAAAGGTTTGTTTTGGTCACGGTGCACGTTATGCCTTATCTTTCCAGTGTTTGCTCCAGAAGTCATCATGGATTCTTACGGGCTGTTATCAGAGATATTTGCCTCTAGATGCAGTTTCTCTTTTTAATGCTTAATTAAATTTTTAGATGGGGATGTCAAACTGCCTACAGAAATCATTCGAGGCTAATGAGGCATAAAAAGAAAAAGATTTAAATGTTTATGTATTCACAGTGCTGTCAGAAGACAAAGCTTGTCACATCAGGCAAAAATGTAAACACTGAAGGAAACGTACCAGCAGAGCTGCGCTCTGGAGCTGATGTATGAAGAGAAACTGCTGTGAATCATCACTTTGCTCTGTGCTGACATCTTTCACTGACAGTCACACCTTTGACAGCGAATCTCACAAACTGCAAACAGCTTCAGGTGTTACAGACTGCCTGCTGTCAGCACCCTGAATGTACTGTAGTACTATACTTTACAAATAATCTGCTGATTATATTCTTGAGCAATCATTTTGGTGATAATATGTCTAAAAATATGGGGAAATAGCCGTTATATTTTCTCACAGCCCAGTGTGATCTGTTTGGATGGGTTGTTTTATTCAGCTATTATTCAGCTATCAGAAAACATCAAATCCTGACAACAGAGAAGCTAGATTCAGCCCAAGTTTGGCGTTTTGTATGAAAAAGTACTAAAATAATTCATCAAATATCAGAATAGTTTCTGATCATTTCAATTGACTTGATTCATCTTTGCAACTCTATAGGAAAAACTATATCTGCATTTATTCTGGAAAGCACATACTGTAGATTTAACTATGATGATCAGTCAATATAGACCCCCCACACCATAAACTTCACAGTGATCTGTCAGCCCCTTGTATTCCTCAAAGGCTGTTCAGTGTTTCCCCATCGAGAGAACAAATCCCCCGACAGGATTCATTTTTACCGATGCAAATATCAAATATGGAAATGAAATATTATTATTTTAGATGCATGTCATAAAGGAGGAAAAGGAAGAAGAAAGGAGCAAAGGTTTCCTGAGGTTTTGTTCAGCAGCCAGTCTTTACGTTGTTGTGATTTTTGAGTTGGATCGGCTCAGTTTGCAGAAGCTATGAATCAGAAATATTGGTCCCGTTTATCCAACAAAGGTTTCTGTGTCTGGTTTTAGTACCGAAGTTTGATACCCAGCCTTAATTTTAGTGCTTTATTTGATGTATTTTCAGCTTTACTGCAGGCTTTTTTCCCACTATCATGACAGTATTTCTTGTAGATTATAAGATTAGGACAGCTTGTGAGGAGAGCGTTTCTACTGAAATCCCCTTGTGTTTTAACAGTGATTATAAAGCAGAGACTTTAAAGGTTCATGGCTCCTTAAGGCATAATATTCTCTGTCTCTCTCTCTTTCTGTCTTACCTTTATCTCTTTGGTGAAAATATCTGATGGGCAGCGCTGGGTGGATGCAAGCCAGCAGAGTCTAGTTGTTTAGAGCAGTTCCTATTTTGAACAGAGACACCCAGAGTCCCATTAAGAAGAAATCTCTCACTCTGTGTCCTTCCTTTTTTCCTAGATTTCGTTTGCACTTTAACCCCAAGATGTCATAGAAATTTATAACTGTAATTATATTTTATTAATAACATGTAAAAAAAAAAGCTCATCCACTTGCTTGCGTTGCACTCCCTCCCAAGTGCGCTTGCCAGAGCCTGCTGTACATATTTGATGGTGTTTGCAGTATCCCTCTGTGCTGTTCTTTTTCCTCCTCTCTGATGTGCCTCGGGTCGTCCTTGTTATTGTTTCCGCTGCATCAACACAGGTGTCTCCTGCCTGCTGGACAGATGCCTATGAACTTTTGCCTGCTGCCTCCTGTCTGCGTCAGAATGGGTTGCATTGTGGGAAAGCTAACAAACTGCTCTTTTCCGTGCTAAGGCAATCGGGCTGCCAGGCTGTGAGGAGTCTGGCTGCAGTCAAGACTTGTTTAGCTCTCTGTGTGTGTTTTCCTCCTCTTTTTAAAAACTGTGTGGGAGTCCCTTCTCCTGCTGTGATCTCCTGAGGTTTTCAGAGGTCTGGTCTGGGCTGCCTAGGGCTTTCGTATACCTTCTGTTCATTCCCCTCTGGCTGGTTAAGATCCAGATTCCTCCGACAGCTTTGAAGTGTGTCAAGTGTGTGTGTGTGTGTGTGTGTGTGTGTGTGTGTGTGTTTTATTGTACATGGAAATATTTGCACTTGTTGAGCCTGCAAAGCAGATGTTTTCAAGGAACAATGCTGTGCTCAGGAGTTTTCATGCAAGAACAATTTCACGCTTTTTTTGACAAACACTGTGCAGGCAGGGAAGGTGCACTGCAGAGCCGCCTTCTCTGTCTGCAGTTCCATACACACCTCTGGTGTGACATGATTCAACCACCTGCCGCTTCACAGTACCTGGGATGAGGAGAGGGCAGTGACTAATACATTGACTGTAGTATGAAATATTTCCATATTTATCAGGTGGTTCTGCAACTGTGCATTGTAGAGCCTTTGCTAAATGATTAAAACAACCATATTTATCCCTTTATAAAGCGTACATGTGAGCGTGGTGGAAAAGGAAATATACCGCACATGATTTATTATTGGTTGAGTCATCCTGTCAGACACAGTTCCCTACGTCAGTAAATCTTGACCAAGCACAGCCGTCAGTAAACGTGGGTGAAACCCTGGGAGCGGCCCTCTCTCTGCCAGTCTGTCTCACTTCATTTCCCGGTCTCCCCTCATTCTCTGTTCCAGTCTGTGGTGGACATTCTTGTGAACCACAATGTGTGTAGAATCTAAAACATGTCACATTTCACCCCCAAAGCCTTTGTGCCTCAGTTTTACATAAACAAGAGGGTTTTGCAGCATCTGTTGTACATGGAGAGGAGCCTTTGTGCCAGCTGTAAAGTTAGCATTGGCATTAGCTTATATCCCAAAGACAATGCACATGTGTGGTCAAGGTTACTTTAGTTCATAAAGACAATTTTATTTGCTGTTCCTCTACATGGGTGTTATAAATATTCCAACTGATTCCTTATCTCTGTCTTGTTTTGCAGAATATCACTATATTCCAACATTGAATTATGACAGGCTTGTTAAAAAGGATCAAGTATTTTTCTGTTTCTTGCTGCCAACAACTGGCTGCCAGTTGTTCACTGGTGGAACTTGCTGTCATCAGACAAGCAGGCAGCTTTCAGCACTGAGATATTTGAGGAGCAGTGACACAACTGAACATCTCTAGAGATAATCAGTTCTAGGACAGTGCTGGTAAACAGAGTGAGGGGACAAACCGCTCCACAGTCTCAGAGCTTGTTTTCTGAGCAGACTTTGCAGCATGCACAGAGCAAGATGCTGTTGTTGCACACACACAAGACATGCTCTTGTGTGATGTGTAACTATGATCAAATAAATGATTTCCAGTTCTATTTCAGTTTGCAAGAATGCAAGAAGTTAGATTTCAAGCAGGAAGCATCATTCACACTCTGAGCTCTGTAAAGATGGTTTGTTTCTCTTTGAACTTTGTTTGATAAGGAACGAATACATGATGTAATGTTACATGATTTACATTTTTTGCATCTTCATTGTGTCTCAAAGCAGCATTGACAGCTGTTTTGGATAAAGTCTCTGCTTTTTTGTCTTTACCCTATGATCAGATGACACCAATTCCACTTAGACTAAAAAGCTTTGGGGGGGGGGATTTTTCATGTTTGTGGTGGAAACTACTTTCAGATTATGCATTTACTTCTGTCAAATTCATTTCACCTCAGAACATGGAAATGAAACAAGAGTCTTCGAATTGCAATGAAAATCAAATCTCAAGTGCTGAAGGGTGCAATTCTACTTCCTGAGCTATTATGTTCAGTTTAATGGATTTGAAGTGTTTAATCACTATGCTGCCTGTTGAAAGATTGCATAGTATTTGATGAATACAGAGTGGATTAAGGGAGGCGGCTCCAATTGTCTTACTTGAATATGATCTGGAAAGGTGTCAACATCCATCCATCTGCAATTGGCCTATTTGTCCTTATGTCTCACCTAATAAATATTTTTATGTTCAGTAGTTGATACAATAGGCTGCAACAACTGTCAAAACCAAAAGGGTATGAAAGGTGGCAGCCTGAAACCAAAATTGTTGCAGCATGAATTTCTACTTGTATTTTAATATCACTGTCATGTTCTTGCAGGTTCAAATTGAACCTACATTTCATGTGAATCTAAGGCGTCGGACTCTTTCCGGACGCCGTCATTTGTTAATTTGTTAATCTTTTCCCATGTTTTTCCATCTCAGACGCAGAACATTTCATCTCTCCCTATGCACACACAGTCAAACATGTTGAAAACACTATATCTCACATTTGATGTAACTTGCTCTCATGTCTGACGGGGTACATTTTCTAGATTCCAGCTCTCTCTCACAATGATTCAAACAACGTTGTCCCCTTCAGCCCTTTCTCCTCCTCCTCCTCCTCC